ACCTTGCTCCTTTTCCCTGGTACTCTATAGCGGCAAAAATAGTCGGCCCTTTTTGGATTGCAATCACGCTTCTTTGGCTTGTCTGGCTTGTCTGGCTTCATATCACGCCTTTTTAGCTCCAGCGGAGTYTCGTTTCCTCCACTACCATTTTCACCGTTACTTGTCTTCAATGTCCTTGCAGTTAAAGYCAGTTTGCCGTCCTCTTTCCCAATCCTCTTTCCAGGAAATGTGTTGTAACAAAGCGGGTTGCTTAAGTCGCATTGCTCTTCTTTTTCTTTGTCTTTCCCATCTTTCCTCTTCAAAACCGGGTTRCCACATTCACCAGGTTCGCAMGTTTGGCTGATCGTAGCTTGTCTATAGGCGATAAGCTTGCAAAGGACGCTGGTACCTTTCTCTGGGCTAAAGCAATCTAGGGCATTCAGTTTGGAATTTGGTGAAGATTCGGGTATTTTATCCCTGTGTTGTTGAATGATGTAAATTAGCAACATAAGTAATAATCAAAGAGATTCATCGGTTGTAAAATAGGTGGTTGTGCAGGCCTGTGTGCTACAACATCCGAGAAATCCTGGTACTAAGAAATCTATAATAGGCTAGTATGAGCTAAAATTTACTTATACAAATTCCAAGAAATTTAGCAATGTCCAGTACCCTTCTGTATTTTTCGACAACAATCTTTTTCTAGACTCTAGTCGTAAAGGAATGGGTAATAAAATAGATAAGAAGGCTTGTGGGCACTTAAACGACAAAATGACTATACAAGCTACAATCCTGGACATTTTACTTGGGAAATTACAACAAGTCACTTAGCATTTTGACAATACGGCAAAATTCATGCCCTCCTCCTAGTAATGTTGTGTGCATTTTTGCATTCTGTTCATTTCCGAGTGTTATGACGTCACGTACAACAGCATTGGAGAGGAGGGGAGGGGAGGGGATGAGGTTGGGAGCATAAGCACCCCTACTCATTTCGCTCATGATGTCCCAATCCATACGATTGTAGCTAGACATGCCTTGTACCTTTTTCTGCCGCCTATTATACGGCAGTGAGGATTCTTAGCTCGGTTGCAGTTGGWTTGCCTCTTTACTTCAGCGGTCTCTCTTATTAACGGCTGGCATTCACCATCTATTCCTCGAAGGCATYSCGCTGACCGAGACGTTCGTCCYTGTGTATCGAAATTTTGAACTGAAGAGCTATCTTTAGATTCTGCAAATGAGAAAGTGAAATAACCATTGAAACATTGAGTATCCACTGCGCAAAGTTTGCAGCATCAAATAAACATGTGGTCTGAWAGCAGCTGTGTTTAGTWTTGGTCACGCGTCACGCAACGGAAAGGGAGCGTTKCGTGACGCGTGAYCGAAACTGCGARGAGACWRGYGAATATGAATGAGAGTTAATAGCTTTAAGATGAAATTTAACTTACCAGCCAATGCTAATGCTAGAAATATAAATACCAATGCTAATAAGAGAGATAGTCGAGAGCCCATAGTAGTGAAGTTAATCTAATAAAGAAAGAGTGTCAATTAGTCTCGATTTAAGTTCAAATGTCGAATTTCTCATGTGAGGAGTTCGCAGAAAATGACGAACTTGAATTTGATGCATGAGTTTAGACAAAGTTTGATACCATTGAACACTGTTGTTTTTGGCTCTTAGTAAGTGATATTTTACAAACACATGCKAATATTTCGTAGGATTTAAAAAGAAATCAATTCGGGGCACGTGCCCTAAGGACGATAAGTCCTAATTATTTTTAAGTGTTGGAAAAATCTAGAATCAGTCGCTTTTGGTTTTATATTATTTCTCAGGCTCATAAAATTAATGGAAAAAGTAGAATCAAAATTTATGATGATTTTTTGAAGATTCCCTCACGGCCATATTTATTAGTGCAAGGAACTAGAAAGTTCAGTTTAAACCCTCATCCTGTTTTGGGCCTTTTAAGGCACCTGCTCTTTCCTTATTCTCTTACGTAATTTACTTTCACCTGCGTGCTCGATGCGTGCGCATAAAATWTTACGCTAATACCACTGAAAGCCATGTACCATGCATTCAAATTTCAYAGACTGATAAGAAAATTCTAGTTTTTCAAAACTAGTTTGACGAAKAAATAAATGCACATTTTTCATATAATAAATAAACTTTTATCTGRTGTTTTTTCCTATATCATTTAAGTCAGATTTGCTTATCCTGTAATATTATTTGCATGAGGTCGAGCAAAGAAGCGAATTTTCGACTCCATCTTGTGTAAAAGTTCCATTTGYAGAGTAATTTTAGCTTTTGTTTGTTTACATACAGCACCGTGAGAGGAAATAAGGTTAAAACTCTCATTTTTCACTCACTAAACGCCCTGTTGTGAACAGCCCTTTATTACGCCGACTTTGCCGTATAACATGGAAATCGCCTTTATTCTCAATGACAGTTCAATAAAACGCTGGTCCTGGTTCGATTCCCGGTCTCTTTATATATATCTGACGCTTGTTAGCTTCCTTGCTATGTGAGATTTTCTTCAAGTACGCTGGTTTTCCTCCCTCAGTCAAAAACTAGCTGAAAGGAGTGTGGATTTTATAATGTCGAGGACGTGTGTGTGGGTCTTTGTCTCTCCTATTAGTAGGACACTGTTTCTGTCTAGAGCAATTGAGATATAAAACAAGTTTTATTGTGTTTAACGATCTGACGCGCGAGGCCTACAGATTATGTCGAGCTATTTAATGTAGGCGCAAAATTCTATCATGGATTTATCCATAACGCATAAATGTCACACGATACGTTCTCGTGTAATTCAGCCTTTAAACCGCCTATTGTTAGTGGGTTTTGCCTTAAGAGTCTTTTACAAAACTGATATGACCATAAGACTGATATGAAGCACCTTATAACAAAGGCARTATCATGTGTAGCACAGAGCTTTCTTATTAGAGGTGTTTACTGCACGGGTCGTTTAATCACGCTGTGACTGTCGCTACGATTGTACATGGAGGCTCTCCTTGGCAAAGCCATGAGTAGATGAAATTTCTCCGTAGAGTCATGTTTGTATATGAAAGGTTTTATTAACTTTTGACATGCTCAATACGGCAATTTATCAGCGAAATATCATGGCGTATTACCGGTCTTTCTTTCAGTTTCGATCCGTACTGGTCGCATCTCTGGTCGTATAAGAGTTTTCGCACGAACTTTTTGACTATATAGATATAATAACAGTCGTAACASAGCCAAATCTCATGGCTTATTTGGCTTTCTTTCAGTTTCTTTCAGAACTGGTCGTACAAGAGTTTCACATGATCTATTTGATCATATAGATGTAATTACRTTAATACAGTCGTAACAGAGGCAAACCTCATGACGTATGTGGCTGTCTTTGAGGTTTTTTCGTAAGGTCGTATGG